ACTGTAAAGATGGTGCAGGGCTAGGCAGTGTTTTGTTCTGTTGTCCACATGGTTTCTATGAGCCTGAACTGATGCTTGATATTCTTGATATCATCCCACAACTCATCTGATCTTCTGTCATTAGTGTGCAATTCACCAATCTGTTCTTGAGTTGATCTCTAAATTCAGGTGGCATACACTCAAGGTCATAACATTTTATTATAGAAAAAGCAATCTCTACACCTAGAAATCTGGAACATTAAAAATTTTAAATGCCAAGCATTTATAGGTTTAGTATTAAGGTGGCAGATGGACTACAGGCCTCCATTCAAGTACTCCATCAATGCAAGACTACTTTGTTCTATTAAACTGGCATTCCATGACGCTCACCTAACTGAAAAGATCACTGAAGACAAAATGGGTGCATAAGCAAATGTGGTGATGAAAGCTGATGGAGCCCGGCTATCAAAAGATGTAGCGTCTAGAGTCTTAAGGTAAGCAAGCGGCTATCTAGCTCAGAAGCAACAAAGCCCACATGGAAGAAGCAAACTAGCCCATGTGATCACAAGGTGTCAAAGGGATCAGGTATCAGGCATCAAAGAACAGAAAAATCAAATCATTGTGAATGAGGGGCAGTGCAGATTGGGGACCCAAGACCCATATGTAGGCAACTGGACATCCCCTTACAGAAAGGTTGCAGGGGAGGAGACAAGCCTGATAAAACATAATAACTTTCCTCTAGTCCCTAAATGCTACTCCCTCCCCACCCCCACCACTATCATGGTCCCATACCTTACAAATATGGCTAGACCAGAGGATGTACACTGGTATAGATAGGAGCTGGAAGCACAGGGAATCCAGGACAGATTATTCCTATAGGACCAGTGCTGAGAGTGGCGGGAGTGGGGAGGGAGGTGGGGTGGAAAGCAGGAACCGATTACAAGGATCTACATATAACCTCCTCCCTGTGGGACGAACAACAGAGAAGTGGGTGAAGGGAGATGTTGGACAGTGTAGGATATGACAAAATAATAACAATTTCTAAATTATCAAGGGTTCATGAGGGAGGGGGGCAGGTTCATGAAGGAGAGAGGAGTGGGGAGGGAGGGGGAAAATGAGGAGCTGTTACCAAGGGCTCAAGCAGAAAGCAAATGTTTTGAGAATGATGATGGCAACAAATGCACAGTTGTTCTTGACACAATGGATGGATGGATGGATTGTGAGAAGAGTGGTATGAGTCCTCAATAAAACGATTAAAAATGACAACAACGACAAAACAAAACAATGAAAAAGAAAAACTATAAAGGACATTTTTAATTAGAGCTTTCTTTTAAATTAATATTGTTACTTCTGGCAGTTTGCATTTTCATATCTCATATTTATAGATGTTGAGATTGTTTTTTGCTACTTATATACAGATATATAGCTTATTTTACACTACTGACATAATACCAGGAAATCTTATAGATTATTTTACTTATTAATGCTTATTTTTTAACTGTATGTTTTAATAATCTTTATTCCTGATAATATTGTCAGCAATCAAGGTTCAATTTAGTTTCTTTGAACCATTATTATTTTATTTGTTTTCCTTTTTCTATTTGATTTACAAGGACCTCTAGCACAATTTTGAATAGAACTAACTATAGAGAGTATTATTATTTCATTCCTGATCTTAAGGGGAACATTCCTCAACTGTCATCACTAAGATTAAGAATAAGTTTAACACATTTTATAATATTCCTTGTTTTATAAAAAGCTTTTAAATTATAATTGTGTGTTTAATTTTATCAAGTTTTTTATTCAAGACAATCGTATTACATATACAATGTTATTTTTGTTGCTTTCCCCATCTTCTCCCCCCTCTTTTCCCAACTGTCTCCCATCACTCATCTAGCAACCTAGCTATCTATGGAGCTATTGACCTACTTAGCTATGGATTTATCTTTCCTTTTTGCAATTAATGTTCTCAAGTGTGATAATTCTCAAGTGTGGAAAACCACTCTTGCATGCCTTAGATAAACCTCATTTGTTCATATCATTGGAGTCAATTTGGGCTCCTTAAGCAACATAGCCCTTCCTGATGGGCTTATTTTTTTCTGCCTTTTCTTTATCAACTTCTGTCACTCTGAAAGTTCATGTAGCATCCACATGGAACATTTCAATTTCCTCGCTGAGCTATGCACTCTTTCTCCTCGCCTGTGCACATGGTGGAACCTTTTTTACCACTCACTATCTCACTAGTTTCTACTTATATTCCCTGTTTCAATTAAAATGTTATTGACTCCAGGAAGTTGCTCATGATTTCTCCAAGACTGAGTTAGATGTTCACACTAATGTATAGGTCCTGCATCCCTATAGATCCCTACATTCATCACGTTAATGGTAACTGGCTCTTTGTTTGCAATAGAATTTTTTTCTATAGGGCTTAGTTACCCTCAGGGCATTTGGGGAGTAATCAGTCACAGATATTACTTATTAGATCAATGAGTAGAAGTGCAGCACATGCTCTGGGTTGCGAATATAGAATGAGGCTTGATCAATATTAAAGGGGCTGAGGAAAATAAAAATTAAAATTCCTGGTGTTTTTTTTCTGTCTACAGACAAATTAGATGCCTTTGGAGTATCCTACTTTTATTATAATTTGTTAATTAAACAAAGATTTTCCTAAACCCACGCCAGATCCAGCTTTCAGTTTTGAAATTACTATTAGCATCACGAATATCCAAATTGTCAATGTCGGGTCAGTTTGTGTCAGTCTGAGAAGATTTGGAAGTACTTCAGTGCTTCAGGGTCTGAAACAAGTTTGGGAACACCCTCTGATCTGGAGCAGACAGACAGAGAGGTATTCTAACTACTGGAAAATCGGAGGGAGTACATTTGACAGATGAGGGTTTGGTTGGGCACATGTGAGTTGGGCAGGTGTAGAAATGATGTTTTGAGAATTCTGTGGTCACAGCGAATGAGTCAGAAGGCTTCTTTTCACACTTTTCAGTGTAATCTTTCTTAAAGTAGAAGGAATCCCAGGAACTCTCACACATTTTTCAGAGGTAAAGATGTCAATTTCCTCTCAATAAGTAAAATGCAAACCCCTGAATCAGGGGGATAAAAATCTTTAAAATAACTGTGCATATTCTTATTCACTCATCAATATATAATGAAATAAATTGCCCAATGGTGTTTTAGACATTGTGTTATAATAAGCTAAGGATATGCAAAGGAATCCTGGTGGTACCATCAGCTAAGCTTGGACTGCTAACCATAAGGCCAGTCATTCAAACTCATCTCAAGGAAAGATGAAGCATCTCATCAGAGTTGACTTGATGGGGTCAGGTTAGACATAAGCTAACAATTGAATCTTAGTCTTGGGACAGTCATTGTCAGACTATGTGGTTCAGCATAGGAAAATGTCAGAAATCTAGATATTGAAGCAATTGTTGGCATAAAGTAAACACAACTGAGTCTGCTATCACTCTTCGATTCTGTTACCTCTCCTGGCTGTCTCTTTTCTTTCAGTCCTAGTGGTCCTTTCTCTTGTCTCCTTGTTATGGTCCTCATTGTAATTTTCTCTCCCCCAACATATAATGCCATTATATGTAATGACATTAATATTAATTCTTAACATTGATCAAATGCATATATTTCTAAATTGTGTGCTAGACTTTCTAAGGCATTTCCTCTTTTAACCACTGAGAGAAGCACTCCTTCCAGTCACTGCCTATTTACAGTTTCTTTGTTCACACTCACGGACCAAGTAAGAGAACTTACTTTTAAATATAGGCTATGTGACACCCAGGCCAGAGCTCTTCAACTGCATGTTGCTTAAGTGAAAATCTGAAAATGTATGAATTTTCATAAATTTATTGGTATTGCATAACTTGGTTGTTTTACTGTGATTTATCCTTAATAAATGTCACAGTAAACTCAGTCAAATATATTTTGACTGAACCTATGAAGGTGACTGAACCATTGTCCTTCCTGATAGTGAGGCATGGAGCAATGAGACTGTGTACTCTTTGCATGTAGTTTCAAGCTTTAAAGCCAGTGGATGAGAAGCGACCAGAGTTCAGCATTCAGACATTAAGTATAATCTTAGTTTGTAAAAGAAGGGAAACAAAGGATTAAGACAGCGCTCTAATATTCTTCAATGATTTCTATTAGGCAAGCACCTTATTGCTTTGCATGGATTAATTTAAGTATTACAATGGTTGGTAACTAGTAATAAGAGTAGTCCAACCTGGTGTAAGGTACTGGATGTACAATCATCTGAATCAAAGTTCAAACTCAGGTCTTCGTGACTCCAAAGCCTGTGTCCTCTACTCTACACCAGTGGAGACATCCATTCTTCTAATTTACCCATCAAATAATTCTTATTTTATCTACATACAAACGATTTAATGCAAATGTTTATTTTTAAGCATCAAAATATATGTACAAGAATATGAGGTTTAAAACCACATTCTCCATCATTTCCTTCAATGTAGAAAGGCAACAACAGGCTAGATATTCACAGAAAAATAACACGGTCCTTGAAGTGTTGACCTGTGAAAACTGGAGTTCATCGTACATGAAAAGAGCGAAGGATTGTCCACTTTCTGGAGACTAATTAATATAACTTATACATCAAATAAAGATCCCTGGTTGCCCAGTGGGTTAATTTCTGGACTGCTAAGCACAAGGTTGGTGGTTCACCACCAGCCGTTCGGTGGGCGGTGGGGGTGGTTTGGAGCTGGGAGACTGTCTTCTCTCATAAAAGTTTACTCTAAGGAACAGTTCTTCACCCTCCTATAAGGTTCCCATGAGTTGGATGTGACTCTCTGGCTGTGAGTTTGGTTTTGTGGTTTATACATTGGCTAGAGACTAAACCTGAGCATGGACTTCAACAAAAAGAATCAAAGTCTCTTGAAGTCCTTATTCTTGTTTTTCAAAGTGACCTGGAAAAAAGAACAAATTTGGTCATAGAAATGCATTTCTGTAAAGGGCAGTTTTATGAATATAAATTTTCTGAGTTGTGAACTTACTCATCCAGTTTTGGAAAATGAGTATCTGTACAGGACCTTCCTCAGAGCTGTCTTCACCTCTTTATTTCTCAGGGTGTACACCAGGGGGTTGAGGAGTGGGGTAATCACTGTATAGGTCACTGCCACCAGCCGGTCCTTGTCTGAGGAATACAGAGATGTGGGTCTCAAGTAGATAAAAGAGGCACAGCCATAGTGGACAATGACCACTGTGAGGTGGGAAGCACAGGTGGCAAACGCCTTCTTCTGCCCTTCCACGGAGGAGATCTTGAGGATTGTGGAAACAATGAAGACATAGGAGATGAAGATAAGCACAAAGGGAACCAGTAACACTAGGATACTGAGGAAGAAAATGACCATTTCCTTCAGGTTGGTGTCTGTACAGCCCAGTTTGATAACAGGGGAAATGTCACAGAAAAAGTGGTTGACCCGATTGGAGGCACAGAAGGGTACACTGAACACCAGGACATTGACAACCACGGAGATCAGGAAACCGCAGAAGCTGGAGGCTAGAACCAGCTGCATGCAGGTGGTTCTACTGACGATGAGTGTGTAGTTGAGAGGGTTGCAGATGGCAACATAGCGATCATAGCCCATCACAGCAATGAGAAAGCAATTAGTGCATGCCAAACCCACAAAAAAATACAGCTGGGCAGCACACCCAGAGAAAGAAATTGCTGGATTTGTGGAAAGCAGGTTGGTCAGCATTTTGGGGACAATGACTAAAGTATAACAGGTTTCAGAGCAGGAGAGGACAAAAAGGAAGAAGTACATGGGGGTGTGCAAAGCTCGGTCCAAGCGAATGACAGTCATGATGGTGGCATTGGCCATCAAGGTGGTCACGTAGACCAACAGGAAGATAAAGAAGAGAAGGATCTGAAGATCCCCCAGGTTTGAGAAGCCTAGAAGGATGAACTCGGTGATGATGCTTTGGTTCTGTCTCTTCATGGGTCAGTGAGAATCAAATTCAGACAACCAGAAATTGAGAGAAGGAGTATTTGATAGAAATGAAATCACCCTAAAGAAACTCAGTTTGTGTTTCTGTACAAGGCTGGTAATATTTGATTGAAAAAAGGAGTCACAAAAAAACTTAAGAATGATGTTTGGGACTGTTTGGGCATGAGCAGGATGAAAAACCGTGGCATAAATAATCCCCAAATTCAAAGAAAACAATTAAAAATCTTTATCTCTGTAAGTTGTTTCCATTCCTTGTGTTCATAAGTGCAAAGAAGGTTCACAGTGTATTGATTCAAGCTTGCTTTAGAATACATTGCATTAAATCCTGTCTTTTCACAGAAGAAACTATTGAGGCTCGAAAGGAATAAACCATTTCCTGAATCCACATGAAAGGAAGTCCTTAGTAATCACTCATCTTTAAGTCCATGATATGAAAATCTGATTCAGAGAAAAGAAAACAAAAACAGATAAAAAGAGTCTTTGCATCCCCTCAGATCTCAGACTCTAACACTGCTTACTAAGGTGTTAATAGTGATTTCATTTTGAAACTGTTTGGATTCTATTTACCTGTGATTGATTATGAAGCCTTTGGGATAGCCTTTGGGATATGATCCCATTTCTATGAATTCCTTTTCTACCAATGCATGGAATTCTGGGACCAACAACTCAAAAAATCTCTATTCACACACCAAACAAGGTGAACATGGGGGTCAAGACCTCCATTTTTCTAATCTCTGTCTAATCCCTGCTGCCATCAACTGTTCTCAGAAAAACTCTCACTGTTGTCTGTGGGAAGAGCTTTAATTTGATTTGACAATCAGGTGATACTAAAAACTTCAAACCAGCCTTAAAGACTCATACAATCTCTGTATTGAAGAAAAATTTAGGAATCTTCTAGCCCAATCTACTCCCAGTTCTCTTTAAAGTTATTTTTTGGTTTGTTTTTTAATAAGTATGGTCCAGTCTCTGTAGTTAATCATTGAGCTAGTTCTCTTGCGAGAGTGCTTATTCTAGAAGATAGGTTTCCAAACTTATTTGGCCTACTTCACCCTTTTCAGAAAAAAGTTACTCAGTGTCCCTGGCAATTAAACACTTTGTACTATCGCTCATAATCCAGGGTGGAGTGTACGTATTTGCTGGATTGTGCAAGCCATCCTCCCAGGCGGTTGTTATCCCTACCTTGGGAAGAAACACTGGTCTACAATATACTCATGCTTCGTGGAACTCCACCTCCTTGATATACTGGTATCCATTGTCGCCTGCTGTCTTCTTTAGTTACTCGTAAGAAGTCTAACTCACATTTATAAATGACAATCATTTAGTTCTTTGAAAAAAATACTCATGTCCTTTTATGGATCTCATTTTCCTCAATGACAGACATTCCCAGTCCCCTCAATTATGTCTCATGACATGGCTTCTGGAGATCTTTCTTAATCACCATTATATATAGTACTCATTATACCTCCACCTGGTTTAAACCAGGCAAGCTGACTGGTCCCCTGCAGAATACATAAATCATTTCCCTTTCTGTGCCTCTAGAGATAACATTAAATTCCCATTGTCTACTATACCATATTCCTTACTGCCTGTTAATATTTATATCTCCTACAAGATCCCAGCTAAACATTTATCTCCTGAAAGACTTCCCTAAATGACTTTGACTGATGTTCTCATTTATTTCTCTATCAGTTTCTTTTGGGATCATTTGCTGGAAGCTTAGCAAGACTAGGAAAAATGTAATCTTTTAGGCAGATTAAGTTGGAATCATGGCTCTGCTACTGTATGACCTTGGAGAAATCACTTCTTTGTGCCTCGGTTTTTCATCTCTGAAACAGCAATAATAAAATTATGCAGTATAGGGGGTTGTGAATAGCAAATACTTAGCCCAATTTCCTAACTCATAATGATAATCCAATATGTGTTAGCTGTGATCTTGTCCATCCCTGTTATATTATAAATGAGGAAAGTAAGACCAAAATATGTAAAATAACAGTAGCAATAAGACTGTATCCCACATATCCTAACCTTCTCTGTCCAGCATGTGTCTTCTGAATGACCTGGGCTCTGTTTTCAGAGTTTCGGTTTGCATTGTGTGCTTTTCCACCTACCCAGTCATCCAGGTTATGGATCAATGTCCTGACTAGTCTGTGTGGTCGTGAGATAGATTTTGCTTCACTCTTCTGTCTACTCCTATCTCTTCTTCTACCTTGGATCCATCACCCAGGGATTTTCTTCTAATAAAGTAGATGTCTATACTAAATAGGTTGTCGTCGTCCTATTTCCTAGCTTAAGTGTGCTTTAGAGAAATTTCATTTATTTAGATTCTCATTTTATTTTCCAAGATGAAAATTTAAGCCTTCCCTAACTTTACTTCTACATTCAGAAAGAATGTCTGCATGAGTTACTACCCCCATGACATGGTCCCTGTCCCTTTGTTTTACCTGAGTCATGATATTATGACCCTCTTCTGTACATACTGCCTTTTGAATCTTCCTTTCATACTAGAGATATTTGTAGAGTGGATTGACAGATAATGTTACTAAGAAAGAAGAGAGGTCTTCACAGCTTTAATAAAAAGGAGGCACTTACTTTCATAGGCAGAGTTCTGGCATGATCCAAAGCTTCTTCCTCCTGAATCAATCAAAGTCAAAAGAGGAGAGCTAAATAAGCCACATTTTGAATGGCATCAGACATCATTATTCTACCAGATCGGATTAGGGAAAATGCAGTGGTCACCAACCTTGAAAGATGAAACAGAACTTTGCTTGTCAGCTAGTCTGGAGCTACCTGGGCAGTCCCGATCTTTTCAGCTCTGATGAAGATGCATCTGTAAAATGCCTAGGTCTTAAACAGCTGGGAACCCCAGGGGACTGAGGCCTTGGAGAACGACCCTTCTTTGGGCTCTATGCATTATAAATATATTTCTTTAGCTCATCGATCCAGTCCAAAGAAACAAGAATGGGATCAATGAATTATCTGGTTTCTTGGATCTGTGTAGAAAATAGACCACTTTGAATATGAGTATTTGCAAGGCTTATTTATTTAGGCTCAAGGTTATATTTGCTGAATGAGGGAAAGCATTGTAATTTCTTCAATTATTTATCTTATGGATTTTGGATCTAAATGAATGGCTTTAAGGGGTTAACCAAATGTCATCCTTGATAGATTTCTTGTAGTTTCTTCTTCCTTCTGCAAGGTCAGTAGCTGAATAAAGCAGATAGTGTTTTCAATAATCCTCCTAATTCATGCATCTAAGCTTTGCCTGCATTTTAAGGGAACACAGATTGTAACCTTTTGGACACTCCTGTACTTGTTAGGTTTTTCTCTTCAAATACATTTATCAGTGAGGTCATCCATTTATGTTTTCATTCATTGATTTAATCAGTATGTATGGAATGGGTACCATGCACCAGGTACTCTATGTGCTTTGCTAGGATGCGGGTGTATGTGTGTGTGTGTGTGTACAGAAATGAAATTACACAGTCTAAGTCAGTGATGGTTTATGGGCCACATACATTGAGCATATAAAGATGCCTATTGCTTGTGTCACCCAGGATCCTTGAGGTGCATGTGAAGGTGCCTATTGCTTGTTTTATCCAGGATCTTTTCATATTTGAGATGGATCTGGGGAATAATCTGCTTTTGGTTCAAGTGATTACTTTTATTGTCTGCAGGTTTAGAATTATTAGTTTCTGTTTGAAAAGAACTTGATGTTTCTTAGTGGAGGTGGGGTGAAAAACAATGGAATATTATAGTAGGCAAAGATTAAAATGGAAACAGGTATATGGTACTGTAGCTTTGCTGAGGAAGGAGTGAAGCTCTCATATACAGAATCAAGAACAATAGGTCTTAATCTGCCATCCCCAAACTCTTTTTTCTTGAAGGCAGTTATTTATTGTTTGTTTGCTTGCTTTTGTGTTATTGTAATAGGGAATAAATACCATGTGCTCTGTGTTTTAATTTTTAATTTGGAGAAACAAAAATGTTCGCAGATGATATAGACATGTGATGTGAGCTAATACAAATTAATCTTCATGAAATACTAGAGTTTTGTTGTCCTTGAGTTAATCTTAGGGAAAGGGACAGATATTCAGAAGTAAGAATTATTCAAATCGATTTTAGACTAAAATGATAAGAAATGTAACAGCACACTTTACATTCTATCCACCTTTGTATTGCAACTATGGTCTCAATAAATTTCTGGACATTTACTAGGAAGCCATCATTATCTATTTTTCATTTACATAATTTCCTTGATAATCTGATCAGATCAGGCAGTATTATTCACATTTTACAAAAGGAATTCAAGAATGGTGCTGCAGTCCTACTGAGCTGAGGAGAGTAAACTTGAAGTGTGAGGAGACTGAAAAGTCACACAATTTAAGGAGCCCACACAGGGTTGGGAGATATTTGATTTTCTTTCTTTTTTGGTAGATATTTTATTTTCAACTAGTTAGAGTGCGGAAACATCACAGGATACCTGAGAGATAGAGAAAAGATCTTTTTGAAAATCCACGTGTTAGTAAAAGGAACAAATCAGGTCAAAAATCTGTCATGGAAGCAGGATAGTCCTGAGAAATGAGAATAGTGAGACTTTGTTTCAGTACTTTGGCCATGTTATCAGGAGAGACCAGTGTCTGGAAAAGAGTATTATGTTTGGTAGAGGGTCAATGAAATAGAGGAAGGCCCCTGGCTAGACATATTGACACAGTGACTACAATAATGGGCTCAAACATGATAATTTCTCTGTTGTGCACAAGATCCCTATGAGTCAAATTGATTGGATGATAAATAACAACAACAACCACAACAAGGCATTCTAAAATTACCTCACAAAATTTATATGCAAATCTCAACCCAGTCCATTGAGTTTCAACACAAGTGCAAGGCTATAAGATGAGAAGAGAGAAATCTTATCAATAAACGGTACAAATAAGTAGCTATTTTTCTGCAAAACCGAAAAAAGCCAGACATATCGCTCTTTCTATTGG